ATTGTTTTTTAATCCGTATGCCTAGTAGGTTTTAATACATAGGGTGCTGGTTACTGTATTTTTTCTAAGAAAGCCAAGCTGTCCTTGTAGTACTTGCGGAAAACAACCATTTTGAATATGTTCTTAGGAGCTAATACTGAAAATCCAAATTTAACATGGACTAGTGCAAAAACACACAGGAAGTGGAACTATCAAGAATAAAATAAAACGAAACAAAAGCTTTCAACATACTTAGGCCCTGAAAACCAGCAGTTAGCCTTGCGTAACTAATATGCCTACAGAACCTCGATGAGGCCTTTTGCAAAAGGCAATCACACTTGAGGTTTTTCTGATTTTATATTTTTAATTTTTGAGAAAATCAGAATTATGTATTAGGAATCAAATGGCTATAGAAAGATATGGCAACGCCTAAAGTAGTCATTAAAACACTACCAGATCTAGAGATTGAGAGTTGAGGGTGGACAGGTGGGAGGGCAATACTATGAAAGATGTACACTTGAGGGGATACTTTTATATTTTTCCAAAAATTTTGGAGCATACTACAATTTTTACAAGGATGAAACTGAAAACTTATTAATACTTTAAAGAGATGCAGAAGGATATCCAAAATCTTGGATTTAGCTACCCCTCCCCACCCCCTATGGATCTGCCAGTGAATTAAACACAAAGAAACTCTCCTGTGACCAAACTTGCCAATTAGAAATGCTAGTGGAGGCTGGATTAAGGGCTTTGCAAGAAATTTGAGTCATATGACAAATCTTATGGCTGAATCTTGGGGACTAAGAGATGGTCTCGAACTGGGACAGCTTCTTAACATTAATAAGTTAATCATTGAATTTGATTGTAAAAATTTGCTGTTGCTTTTGAAAGAAACTAATCAAATCAGACATGATCTTGCTCCTGTACTTAGCGAGTGTTGGGCTTTACTTATTAGATTTCAGCAAGTCCAAATTAGACATATGTATAGAGGCAAATCGCTGTGCGAATATGCTTGCATAGATGGGGGAAAAATTTTGGTACTCTATACTCATTATTAAAATGTGAATTAGCTTGCCAGTACAGCACATAATTATTACCTGTTTACACTGCAACTGAATTATTGAGGAATCTCAGTTTTTATGACCAACCTTAATCTTCCTAAACAAGTGATATTCTTTGGAATATTTTTATAAGTAAATTTTATATATATTGACATATATATATATATATATATATATATATATATATATATATATATATATATATATTATCATCGTTGGATCCATGATATATGACAGTGAAAGTGTACAAAAAATGTACTTTGTGTTAAATCCCAAATATTTAAAGGAGAAACTATAGCACATATATAGATAAGTTCAAGGTACGATGATCAAACTCATGGATCAGAGAAATCTTTAACGAAGTTATGAATCTTATACATGATTAGTGAGCTTATCCTTATATTATGGAGCTTTACATAATTGATATATAAACGATTTTGATTATGTTCATACGTTCTTGTAATTACTGATTCATCGTATTATCATCTCACCTAAGAAGAAGAATTAAGAAACCTTATTACTGACCAATGGTAGGACGGGTGACTCGTACATTTAAACATAGACTTTGGTTTTTCTCTCCACTTGCCCGAGTTTATCTTATTTCACCAGGGATGGTAATCGGTTGGCAGTGGGGCGGGGGCTAACTTCCCCCGCGCTAGTTCCATCCCCCGCCACCTGTGCACCCATCCCCACCTCGCCTTGCTACCCCTGGACGCTCGAGACTGTAAATTTCAACCTACAAAATTTATTGAAACACTGTAAGACTTCAAAAAAAAAGAGTATATACGCATTTCTAAAGTCTTAAAATTATTTGAAACATATTCAAATACTCCTTTTATGTTGATAAGCAAAATTTACAAAAGAAAGGGTATAATTACTGATAGTGTTTTTGAGAGTATTGGTGTGTATTTTGCTATTCACTAGTATTCTTTTAGTCTAAAGCAGTCCCAGTGTCAACCAATGCTTAGCACTTTTTATGCGGATTGTTTTACCTCTTAGTAGTGTAATAGAATTGTTAGTCATTAATGTACCAAACTAAGTGACAAACTATATTATAATAGACTTGTGAATGATCACTGTATTAGATGAAGTGGACTTTCTTGGTGATTTAGTAGTTAGTTGAAACAAGATTTAACCTTTTTTTTCTCTTTGATTAAATTAATTTATGTATTTGAGGATAAATATACTAATAATAGTAACAGTAAAAGGAAGCTTAGGATATATGTATTAATAGGTTATATATATATTTATTTATTTATTTATAAAATACTAATTTAGAATGGGGAACTAATTTGAAGCTGGGTAAGGGGCGAAGGAAGGGGGGAGAATTTTCACTCCCATCCATATTTCTGCCCTGCATTTTTGTTGGTTTTTAAGGGTATAAATTAAAAAAAAAACACCTTAGTTAATGTTGCAAAAAACATGGCTTCCTTTCCATTCATCAATTTCCCATTTTATAGAGGTAGAATAACAAGCTAACTGCAAATATCTCCTAACAAATCTTAACCAAAAATTCTTGTTAACAACTTAACATAATCTTCTGCTAACAAATTTCCAAAACAATCTTAACAAAATTCTAAAAATTCTAACAAACTAGAAATAACCAAATACAAAAAATGTTGAACAATTCCTAATAATTATATTTATTCAACAACTATTTTATTTGTCCTAGTGCTAGAAAATCTAGAAAAATCTGCAAAGAAATTGCATATTCCGACACTCCTCCTTGTTATTTATGCTGCAGATTTTGAATTGTCTTCTCTAATCTTTGAACCTTATTTTGGTCTAGACTTTTGTAAGAAGTTCTACAACTGATGATTAGTCTTGCAATAAATTTCTTCTTTTTAATTTTTATGCAAGTTGAAGATTAGCCTTGCAACAAACCACTTCTTTTGGTTTCTTATACCAAACTCTAAATAAAAGATGGCTTTTTTGATGTATCCAAATAGCTTCTTATAGTAAAGTGGAACACCCTTCTACAATATTTGAATCCATAAAGAAAATATATAACACATAAAATGCTTATTATGAGATATATATAAAAACAAGTCCTACTACTTCTATATGGTTCTTCACAAATTTTTTCATCATCATCATCCTTGAATTTTTGATGAATCCTCACAATATAGGCTCCTTTGATCGACTTATCAATGATCTCCCCTTAAATTTTATTAGTATTTGAATTCTTAATTTCATCATGTTTCACTTTAGAATTGTAAAAGTCTAACCAATTCATAGTAAAACTTTTCCTTTTCATTTTAATTGAGAATAATTTATTCTCAATCAAATTATAAGTCATTATCCTTTTGAAAAACGGTATAAAAAATTATACGTGAATGTTGGTCTTGGATGTTTGTCTAACTGCAATTCTATGGTTTATAAGTTGTGTATCTATCAGTTATTCAAATAGTGGTAAAACAAAATTTGTTTCCACCATAAGTAAGTCAAAGATTATTGGCTACCAAATAAGTCCAGAATTTAATGGCCCAAATTTGGTAAGTTTCACTACTAAAAGTTGAAGCATTTGACAAAATGTTCCTTCCTGTCATGAGTTTGAACTGATAAAGGATCGAATGCACTCACTTTCAAAAAATAACACAAGCCATTAAGATATAGGCTCTTGATACTACTTTATTGGTTTTTTAGTACATAAACTAAGAAACAACACCCCTTAGCTAGTGTTGCAAAATAATGGCTTATTTTTCATTCATCAATTTCCCTTTTTATAGAGGTAGAATAGCAAAACAATCACAAATATCTCCTAACAAATCTTAACCAAAAAATACTTATTAACAACTCAACACAATCTTCTGCTAAAAAATCTCCTAAACAATCTTAACAAAATTTTGAAAATTCTAACAAACTAGAAATAACCAAATACTAAAAATATGGAACAACTCCTAATAATTAGATTTATTCAACAACTATTTTATTTATCCTAGTGCTAGAAAATCTAGAAAAATCTGCAAAGAAGTTGCATATTCCAATAGTTTTTTTCTTGTTTCATTTGTCCCCCGTGGAGCGGATACTCGCAGAGACTTGTCCTCATTGTTATTCCTTTATTTCATACTAAAGTAAATAATATAGAGAGCTTGGGGATGGAAGATCAAGACACTAATTGCTTTATCAAGCTCCTTCAATTGGTATAAGGTATGTCTTAATTTGGTACTCCACAATTATGAGTCATAATTGAAATCCTAATATCTCCCTTTTATTCCTAACACCTGGTGTCAGTACTGAGGTTGAACTTGTGACTTTGTTATTCTCAACAAAAAAAAAACTTGTGGCTTTGTTGGGGGTTCTTCTAAGAGCTCTAAGGCTCGGAGTCTAAGATGGTTAATCTGGGCCAAGGTGAGTATCTTCAAACAAAAGGAAAGCCTAAGTTCCTTGCAAATGTGCTAAAAACATGAAGGATTAAATACCAAAAAAATTGTTTGTGATTTGATAAATGATCAATTTAATATCCTCTGGTTTGAAATCTATACTATAACTCTTTGTTATTTTGAATAAATTAGAAATTGGATAGCAAGCATTAAATTTGCCATTGTGGATTCCACTTTATTTAGTTATTTTTGTTGAAAATTTTATTTATGTTATTGTTAAATTTGTTTTTCAAATGGAGTCAATCATTTAGTGGCCTAGAGTTTAGGAATTTGCTGTACGTTGGAGTCTTTCAGTTTTGATTTAGTCAGCAGATTTAGTGGCTTATTGGTCTAGTCTTTAGGAGTAGTTGGGTTATGGAGAAGGTGCCAAATATGGGACCTAATCTTTAGGGATTTCAGTTGTGCATTTTGCCTATTTAAAGGCTCCAAAGGTTTTGAGTAAAACAGATCTTGGGCCACAGTACTACTATTATCTTTTCTGCAAATCTCTTATCAGTGGCATCAGAGCTACAAGACTCCTGAGACCTGAGAGTGAAACACTTGAAATTATCTACTCTTTCCCCACTAACCTCTCCAAATGGCCAATGATTTAAATTTTGTGCAAGCTGTCATCCCTTGCTTTGATGGTCATTATGACCACTGGAGCATGCTCATGGAAAATTTTTTACGGTCCAAAGAATATTGGTTAGTGGTTGAATCCGGAATTCAAGAGCCACCAGTAGGTGCAGCCGTGACAGATGCACAGAAAACAGACATTGAAGCTAGAAAGCTCAAAGACTTGAAAGTGAAGAACTATCTCTTCCAGGCTATTGATCGTCCCATCTTGGAGACTATTCTTTGCAAAGATACATCTAAGGATATTTGGAATTCAATGAAGAAAAAATATCAAGGCTCTTCTAGAGTGAAGCGTGCACAGCTTCAAGCCTTGAGGAGGGATTTTGAAGTTTTACAGATGAAGGATGGGGAATCTGTTACAAGTTTTTTTAAAAGGTCAATGGAAATTGTAAATAAAATGAGATGCTATGGAGAAGAGATTAAAGATGTTAACATAGTAGAGAAAATTCTGCGTTTTATGACGCGAGAATTTAACTACGTTGCTTGCTCAATTGAAGAGTCAAATGACATAGATGACCTCTCTCTTGATGAATTGCAAAGCTCTTTGTTAGTCCATGAACAGAAGATGAACCGAAGCTCAACAGCAGAGGAACAAGCTTTAAAAGCTTCTACCAATACTCGTTCCAACAGCTCGAGAGGAAGAGGCAGAGACCGAGGAAGAGGGAGGGGAGATCAAGATCATGAAAAATCTAAGGTAGAGTGCTTTAGATGTCACAAATATGGTCATTATGTTTCTGAATGTTTCACTGAGCTGCCAAACTATAAAGAAAGAGAGGAGAACTCAAATTTTGCGAAAGAAACGAATGAACCAGAAACTTTGTTGATGACTGTCCATGAAAGAAAAAAGATTGAGTCTAATATTTGGTATGTCGATATAGTCTGCAGCAATCACATGAGTGGAAGTAAGTCTTCTTTTTTGAATCTAAATAAAAGTTTTCACTCTACTATCAGTTTTGGTGATTTCTCTACTGTGAAAGTGATGGGAAAAGGTGATGATCAGATACATACTAAGAATGGTCTTGTGAAAACAATTTCTAATGTGTTGTATGTTCCTGACTTGAAAAGTAATTTGTTGAGTGCTGGTTAGTTGCAAGAAAAGGGGTATGTCATTACAATTAAGAAAGGTGCTTGTGAAATTTATGATCCTGATAGAAGAAGTCCTATTGTGATTGTCCAGATGAGTTCTAATAGGTTATTTCCAATGAAGATTGAAAGCATTCAATCTTGTTTGATGGCTGAAGTAAAGGACCTCTCATGGTTGTGGCATTTTTGTTATGTCCACTTAAGTTTTGGTGGACTGAGGGCTCTGCAACAGAAAACCGTGGTGACAAGGCTTCCGGAAATTACTGTTCCCTCCCTAGTTTGTGAAGAATGTGTTGTCAGCAAACAACATTGTTCTCAGTTTCCCAAAGGGAAGTCTTGAAGAGCAAATGATGTGTTAGAGCTAGTGCATTCAGATATTTGTGGCCCAATAAACCCATCTTCTAATAGAGGTAAAAGATACTTAATTACCTTCATTGATGATTTTTCAAGAAAAATGTGGGTTTATTTTTTACAAGAAAAATCAGAAGCTCTTACTATGTTTAAAAGCTTCAAAGCTCTTGTGCAAAATGAAGCAAGCAAGATTATTAAGTCTCTTCGAACTGATCGGGGTGGAGAGTATTGCTCAAAAGAATTTGAAGGTTTTTGCATGCAACATTGCATTCGAAGAGAACTTACAGCTGCATATACATCACAACAAAATGGTGTATCGGAGCGGAAGAACAGAACAATTCTTAATATGGTGAGAACTCTATTAACAAGAGGAAGAGTTCCAAAGACCTTTTGGTCGGAAGCTGTAAACTGGAGTATTCATGTTTTAAACAGAAGTCCAACTTTTGCTGTTCAAAACAAGACTCCTGAAGAGGCTTGGAGTGGAAGAAGACCAATTGTAGATCACTTTAGAATCTTTGGCTGCCTTGCTTATGCCCATATCCCGAATGCGAAAAGGAAAAAACTTGTTGACAAAGCTGAGAAATGCATCTTTCTTGATGTAAGTGAATCCTCCAAAGCCTATAAATTATTCAACCCATTGACGAAGAAGATTGTGACCAGCAGGGATGTTGTTTTTGAAGAAGAGAGCACCTGGGATTGGGATGGGCAGCAGCCTAAACAAGTCCTTTATGATGATGATGCTAAACAGGAGCAAGTTCCAGCACTTGTCATGCCACAAAAATTCTTCAGATACAACTCAAACAGCCACTAAAATTTCACAACTATTTGCTGAAGTAAATGAAGAAGGAGCCCAGTCAGTTGGTCCAGTTAGAAGAAGGCTGCTTGGATGGAAGATTATGAGGTAACTGGGTTAAGTAATCCAATTACTCATTTTGCTTTGTTCGCAGATTATGATCCTACAACTTTTGAGAGTGCCATCAAAGAAGAAAAATGGCAAAAGGCAATGGATGATGAAATCAATTCAATTGAGAAGAATGACACTTGGGAGCTGTGTGATCTTCCTAAGGGGCACAAAATCATTGGTGTAAAATGGGTCTTTAAGACAAAACTAAACAAAAATGGTGGTGTTGACAAGTACAAAGCACGCCTGGTGGCAAAAGGATACAAACAGCAGTACGAGGTTGATTATACAGAAGTATTTTCTCTAGTTGCAAGACATGACACGATCAGATTGGTGGTTGCATTAGCAGCGCAAAATTCTTGGCCTATCTTCTATCTAGATGTCAAATCAGCATTCTTGCATGGGTATTTGGAGGAGCAGGTATTTATTGAGCAACCCCCTGGCTATATTAAAGTTGGAAATGAGAATAAAGTGTTTAGACTGAAAAAGGCCCTTTATGGATTAAAACAAGCTCCAAGGGCTTGGTATAGTCGAATTGAGACTTATTTTCTTAAGGTTGATTTATAAAATGTCCTTATGAGCATACAATGTTTGTTAAGATTAAAGATGGGGGGAAACTTCTCATAGTCTGCTTGTATGTTGATGACCTTATATTTACTGGAAATTGTGATACCATGTTTGGTGAATTCAAGAAGTCCATGATGAATGAACTTGAAATGTCTGATCTTGGTTGGATACATTATTTTCTTGGCATAGAAGTAATGCAATCAGATGATGGAATTTTTCTCTCTCAAAAGAAATATGTGGGAGAAATTTTGAATAGATTTTAGATGAAGGATTGTAATTCTGTAAGTACTCCAATGGAATGTGGCGTGAAGCTACATAAAGGTTGATAGCACACTTTACAAAGCAAATTGTAGGCAGTTTAATGTATCTTACTGCAACAAGGCCAGATATAATGTATTCTGTGAGTTTAATCAGTAGATATATGGAAAGTCCCACGGAGTTGCATTTGTTAGCCGCCAAGAGAATCCTTCGTTATTTGCAAGGAACTCGAAACCTAGGGATATATTACAAGAAGGGTGAAAAATCTAACTTAATGGGTTATACTGACAGTGATTATGCAGGAGATCAAGATGATGGAAGGAGCACTTCTGGCTATGTTTTTTATTCTTGGAACAGGTGCAATCTCCTGGTCATCAAAGAAGCAACCAATTGTCACTTTATCCAGTACAAAAGCTGAATTTGTTGCAGCTACGGCTTGTGCTTGCCAAGCCATATGGCTGAGAAGAATACTTGAGGAGTTGTAGTTCAAGCAATATGGAGCTACTATAATACTATGTGATAACAGCTCTACAATCAAGTTGTCAAAGAATCCAGTGCTACATGGAAGAAGCAAGCACATTGATGTGAAGCTTTAATTTTTTGAGAGATCTTTGCAAAGATGGAACTGTTGATTTGATGCATTGCAAGAGTGATGATCAAGTTGCGGATATATTCACCAAGGAGCTCAAGAGGGAATCGTTTGTGAAGCTCAGAGGATTACTAGGTCTCTGCAACCTAGGTTCAGTCAAGGTTGTAAACTGATGTTAGTAAACATCAGTTTAAGGGAGGGATTGTTCAAAATTTTATTTATGTTATTGTTAAATTTGTTTTTCAAATGGAGTCAATCATTTAGTGGCCTAGAGTTTAGGAATTTGCTGTACGTTGGAGTCTTTCAGTTTTGATTTAGGATCTGTTTGATAATATAAAAAGGTACTGAAACTGAACCTTTACAGACATTCAGATATTTTGAGTGTTTGATAAATAAAAATTCATCTGCTGAACTTGTTAAGCAGTACTGAACTTGTATGTATTTTTTTCAGCACAAAAATCCTAACTGAATGCTTAATTCTGATAAGAATCAATAGAATTTCTTAAACTATCTTATCTTATCTATCAAATCTACCCTTATTTGTTAATTATGTTCAAAATTCTTATCTAATTAAATAACGTGATATTCTCTATTTAACGATTTTTTATTTCTTTTTTATCCCTTTTTAATGACTTTCACATCTTTTTCATACTCCTCATATAATATATTTCATCTTTTATATTAATTTGATTTAAAAATAAGTATTATCATTTTTATACCTAACAATTTTAAACTAATTAAATCATAGATTCTATTTCTTTTTTAAATGAAAAGATATAAGGGTAAAATTATCAAATTAAACTTATTAAACATTCAGTTGTAAATATTTATCAAATGGTATAAATAAATTTAGTATTAAAATTCAAACATTCATATATTTCTTTTCAATACTTAAAATTCAGTAAATTAATTGTTTCAATATTTAGATTTCATAATTCAAATTTCAGAATTCAGATTCAGTTTTATCAAACGGAACCTTAGAATCCAATATGTAAGTTAGGAACTCAACTCTGACCCAAAAGCTTAAGCTATTAGATCTTGAGCCCTTACTTACATATTAACCACTCTTTCTCTATCTCTCGGATCAATATGGGACACAATCCTTTACTCATGAACCTAACAAATCCTTCCTTTCATGAGGAACCCCCACATTAAACTCAAATTTACAAGCCATTTTTTTCGAGCCCACTTTAGTACTCAATGCAATCCCACCTTTATCATCAAGGTTATCTTTTCTCCCAAACATGGACCCACTCTTCTTCAATATCCAAACTGCATTTTGGACCCCTGCCAACCCTTGATTCTTTGGTCTAACATCAACTAGACCCCCTGCCAAACCCATGGCACACCTGGTCCAACACTAGCCAAACTCCTTGGTACTTCGGTCGACCATCAAGAAGATAATTTTTACTTGGTTCAACTCCGAGAAGAATCCACTTGCCCATGAGTAGCCCAGTTTTTGCAACCTAAAGCTCTGATACCAGTTTGCTAGGGAGAAACACCTCGAGAGAGTCTACCAAATAACCCAATATGTAAGTTAGGAACCCAACTCTAACCCAAAAGCTTAAACTATTAGGTCTTGGGCCCTTACTTACATATTAACCGCTCTTTCTCTATCTCTCGGATCAATGTGGGACACAATCCTTTACTCATGAAGCTAACAAGTGGTATCAGAGCTTGGTTGCGAGATTGGGCAATAAAGCAAAATTCGTGGTTGGATCCTAATTAACTATTGAGATCAAGTGGATTGGTAGTTGTTACTAATTGAACAATTTAATGGGTGGTATCCTTGTTTCAATGACTTGTCAAAAAGCATTGATGGTGAAGGATGAAAAGTCGAAAAGTATGGAGATGCTTGACGGTGAATCTAGGCAGGTGATTCAAGAGTCAAGAAAAAGGTGAAGTCCAATATTGATTTTGGATGTGAATCGATGAAGATTTTCTCACATCTCCAACGGTTGATACTTCATCCCAGTGGATTTTAGATTTTGGTTATATTTTTTGCATGGTGTGGCACGTGTCCCAAAGAATAAAGAGATCTAATTTTCATTCGCCAGAAGACTCTGACAGATACAAGTTTTTCGTTTTAGATGGAGTCTTGAAAACCACACATGACGAGACAGTCCTGAGGATGGGAAGAAGTATGGTAATTTTACCACTTGGTTGCCTCAATGATTAGGGTTAGAGCTCACAGAAGGGGATCCTGGATTGCAAGTGGTGGTGAGAAGAAATCCTGCAAAGAGAGATGGTGAATTGAGGCACCTTCTCACGAGTCAACTGGAGGTTGGACTCGGGGTAACTACACATGTTCATTTGCCGATTGAATCAATTTGGTGTCAGGACTGTATTGATTCGGATGTGTAGTTTGGTACCATATTATTTGGTAGTTGAAGACAAATGGTTGCTAAAAAAAATTTTCGCCAAGGTGGAGATTTGTTAGGAAATTGGATTAATTTCTTTTATGTAGAATTCCTGTTTTGTGTGGAAGTAACTAGTTTCCTAATTGGATTTAGTTACTTGAATTAGTAGTCAAGTAAAGCCCTATTTAGCAGGAATTAGATGCTATTTCCGACTCTATATGAGTTTAGGAAATAATATTGGTTTCCAATTTTTATTTGATTTTTTTGGCAGTAATATTCTCTATAAATAGGTGGGTTGGCATAGTACACAAGAAACACACAAAGAGAAACACAAGGAGACACAAGGGACATCATGTAGCCTTATACATGGGGTGTGAGAGAGGGTTCTTGGGAGATGAGAGATGGTATACAAGGGTTGGGTTTGGATTCAAGTTATATTCTTGTATAGGGTTTTCCTCTCATAATAAAGAATAGGTTTTTCTCCGTGGATGTAGGTTCAATGGTGGAGCCGAACCACGTTAAATATTGTGTGCCGTCTATCTTTCATGCTTCTGGCTTGTTTCTCATTAAATTGTTGTGCATTTGATATCTCAATAGTTGTTTGTTCCGCGTCTGGATCCTAACAGAGAGTTGAGAAGTGACTGAGGGGGATAGATGGCTTCCAACCATGGAAGATGTGATAGTGGAAGCCCTTCCATCTAATGAACGGGAAGCTCAGATTTTAGCTGCCAGAGAACTTGGTAAACTTGCAACCAAACTAAGACAGAAGTTAGCAGAAAGAGGGATCATTTCTCGGCTCGTTACGATGCTTCGTAAGCAAGATTATGAAGCCACTGAAGCGGCACTTTGCTCTGCTTTGTCTAGCTTTTCAAAGTGAAAGGTATTGCTTGCATCAGTTAAAATTTGTAGTTTTTGAAGTTGCATCCGAAGGCATTGGCTGAAGAATTGTTCCCCATCTAATTTTGCTATGATTTTGTAGAAACAAGATTCAAATTGCAAATTCTGGTGCCATACGAGTATTGCTGGAGATCATTCAATGCCAAAAAGAGTCATTGATTGACCTTGCAGCAGCAGCCCTCTTGGTTCTTCCTTCTTGCTCCAATAACAAGCTAGCAGTCGCAACATCTGGGACTAACCCAATCCTGGTTGGATCCCTGAATTCCCAATTGGCAGAAGAATGCGGTTTCTAGAATCTAAGCTTGCAGGCTAAGCTCAATATCATATCCACATTTCACAATCTCTCCACCTATCCTCAGATAATCCCATCTATTGTTTCTTTTGGTATGGTAAAAGCCATGCTTCAACTAATATGTATGAGTTCGGAAAACAATCAGAGATGATTGAGAAAGCGATGGCATTACTGGAGAAGATGGTTTCCTCGTCGGAGATTTCACTGAAGGAGGTTGCTGAGACTGCATGTCTTGTAATCCACTTGCTAGTGGAGGCCATTGAAGAATGTACACCACTATGCAAAGAGCACGCTGCAGCTACGTTACTGGTCATGTGCCAAAGCTGTAGGGACAGATGCAAATCCAGAGATTGGGAAAAAAATTTTGGGGTTGCAGAAAGGCAGAGGGAAGAAGGAGAAGAATGTTGATTTTCGTCCGTTGCAACAATTTTTGTTCCGTTAAAAAATTGTTCCATTCGGTTTAACCCATTTTTTGTTGGGTTTACAGTTGGGTCTAACACCAATTTCTTCATTTCCCGTCAATTGTTCTTAATTGGTCAAAATTGCGTAACTTTGAGGATGAAATGTATTTTTGGTGAAACTTTGAGGATGAAATTGGTCAACAACCCAAACTTTGAGGATGAAAAGTGCATTTTTCCCTATTGAAATTTTCTAACTGGTACTTAATAGATATTATTTAGGACGTCTAATTTATACCTAATCTATCATTTAAATGCACAAACTCATTTTTATAGTCTTCCTCACATTTAAACACTTTTTAGGCTTAATTTCACTTTTCCAAAACTGAAAAGCTAAAACTTGATATCTTTTTTACCAAATTAATATTTTGCATAGGGGTGTTCAAATTTGTATATAAAAAAATGGGTTGAGCCAATTTAATTTGGATTTTGAGTTTTCAAATTGGAATTTGATAAAGCTAAAATAAATTCAATCCTTAATATTTGGTAAAACAATTTTGGAATCATTCTAAAGTTAGTTCCCAAATTCCTAGATACTGGTTGAAATTTGTAATTACTTAGAACAATGTTACATATAGCATATATATTGATATACACACTAATTTTTTAAAATTTTTTCGCCTTTAATCCCTTCTCATATCTTTTTCATTTTCAACTGTTAAGGTCAAGATTCGAATCCTGAACCTGATAGTAGAGAGAATTCTAATAAGTGATAACAAGATAATAACTTAATGAATACTAAGTACTAATAAACTATTATTAGTAGCAGTTATGATAATCTTAAAGATTAATTATAAAAGTAGGTTTGCGAACTTTTCTCTCGGCCATAAGGACCAGAAACCTGCACCAGTGTACGTAAGCGTTCATGGCAGCCCTTCAGCCGTCGACTGAGGGGCAAAAACTTTCTCCTACAACAAAAAAATCCTTTTCCCAGCTCTTTTCACAGCCGGTTACATCTCCAATCCAGGTTCGACAGGCTTCAGTTTACAAGGGTGAAGCTGCGGTTGTTTTTTCCAAAGTAGATGCGGACAGACTTGCAGTGCCATTTAGATGGACATTGGTTGGCAAATTTTCTCACGGACGACCTTCCTTGGATACTCGAAAGTTTTTTGCTTCTTTAAACCTCAAAGACCAAGTTTCCATTGGTTTATTGGATTATAGGCATGTTCTTATTAAGTGCTCCGCTGAAGTAGATTTCAACCGAATTTGGACTAGAGGAATTTGGCAATTGGGTAACTATCCAATACGTGTGTTTCGATGGACCAGGGAATTTCATGTGCAAAGAGAGTCATCTCTAGTACCGGTTTGGGTAACTCTTCCGTCTCTGCCTATTCATTATTTTGATAAACACTCTTTGTTTTCCATTCTATCTCCAGTAGGAAGACCTTTGTTCCTAGATTCGGCAACTGCTGCTGGGACTCGTCCTAGTATGGCCAGGGTGTGTGTGGAGATAGATGTAGCGAAGCTTGTAGTGCCAAGAATTTGGATTGCTGTCGAAGGGGAATCTGGTTTCTGGCAACGTATTGTGCCAGAAAACATCCCTCCATATTGTTCCATTTGCTCGCGTTTAGGACACTCTCATGTGGAGTGCAAAAAGAATTTGGATAAGGTTGGGTCTTGGCAACAGCCCATGAAGATGCAGCAGGACTCACAGTTAGCTGGAAATCAGGTTATTATTCTTCAACCTGTTAATAACTCAGCTGGTAATGCGAATGAAACAACAGATACTGTGGTTTCTTCTCATGAAAAGCGTATTACTGCTACGCTGGATGGAAGGAAAAATTCCCCAGGTGCAACGGACAAGGCTTCTGGATCTGTTTTGCAAGATGATGAAGGGAACGTTCAGCAAGACTTCGGTGTTCACACTACTGTAGTTGAAGAAGAAACCCAGCCTGAATCTTCTAATGTAAATGGATACATGGAGAATGCGGCAATGCATGGGGGACAAGCGGAAATGGGAAACCAGCTGGAGGAGCACCTTGGTCTTCAAAGTGAAGGGACCCAGCCTCTTAAGCAGAAATCTTTGACTAGTGAACAAGAGCAGCTGGCCGAAATTAATGCTTTAAGCATTGAACAACAGAATCTGTCCGACAACAATGATATCGATGGAAATGAATTGCTGGCCGTCAAAAAAGATTTGCAGCACCTCTATGTTGAATTACATGGGGTAGAAGATGTATCTTCCACACAACATGGGGAAAATTTGCCTAGCTCGACTAATATTGCAGGAAATTTGTCTCCACGAATAGGGGTCCCACAAGAAAAGATGCAGGAATCGTCAATGCACGCTCTAAATATTGATCAATCCGAGGAGCTTCATTGTGATTTTCAACAAATGCGGAAGAAGGGTGTGCGGGCTCCTTTCCCATCTGACAGACAGTTACGGTCAAATATATCATCCAAAAACTCATTCCAGGTTCTTTCTCATGATTAATGGATTATTTTGGAATATTAGAGGGGTAGCTAAACTTCCTAATCTAAGAAGATTGATTAAATTAATACGGATACATCACCCTCAATTTGTTGTCATTTGTGAGCCAAAACTAGACGTATCTAAAATTGAGTCCATTCGCTTACGTCTACTCTTTGATTATGTGTTTGTTAATTGCTCAAGTGATATTTGGATATTCTACAGTAGTCCTTTTGTTTGCTCTATCGTTGGTAGTTCGGATCAGCATATTTCTCTAGATATTCAAAGTCCATTGCTTCCTAGTAAATTTGTCATGTCCTTTGTTCATGCAAAGTGTTCAGTGGAGGAGCGCAAAGTTTTATGGTGTTCATTATTACATGATAAGCCTAGTTTATTACCTTGGTGCATTGGGGGTGATTTTAACGTAATTTTGGCACCTCATGAAAAACGGGGAGGCCGTCCATTTGCTATAGCTGAGGGGGCGGATTTCATGTCTTTCATGGAGGAGGCTGAGGTCTTCGATTTAGGCTTCTCAGGAGCTAGTTTTACATGGTCTAATAATCGGCGGGGTAGAGCTCGAATTTCAAAAAGGTTGGACAGATTTTTAATCAATGGATCTTTCTTGGATCTCTCTAACAAAATCTCTGTGCTTCACTTGGCAAAACATCCCTCAGATCATGCACCATTGAAGATTACGTTTGCCACCCGATCGGATATTAAACCTCGGCCATTCCGCTTCTTAAATGTCTGGACTACAAAACCACAATTCCTGGAGGTGATTCGCCAGGCTTGGAATCAAGATGTAGAGGGATCTCCATTGCGCGTTTTATGCTCCAAATTATTGGCCACGAGAAGGGCTATTCAAACATGGAACAAGCAACACTTTGGGAATGTTATTGATGCTGTTCGTTATGCGGAAATGGCGGTCCATAGAGCAGAGGAGGTTGCGGATCAAGCCTATTCAGAAGAGTGTCAGATTGAACTCAATAAGGCACAGGCAGAGTTTCGGCATGCAATGTCAATTGAAGAGCAATTTTGGAGGCAAAAGGCAAGGGTTAAATGGCTTCGTCATGGAGATAGAAATTCAAGGTACTTTCATGCGGTAGTAAGGCAGAGACGTGTTCAAGGAATGATACACCGTATAAAAAAATCCAACGGCGTTTGGGTAGACACGGATGATGATATATCAACTGAGGCAACAGAATATTTCAATAATCTCTTCACAGGGTCTTTGGAGTCATATTCTGATATGCTACACCTAATTCCGCCGATGATTTCGGGAGAGGATAATAAGAGGCTGGAAGCAGTGCCTACGATCAAGGAAGTGTACGAAGTCGTCAAGTTAATGGATGGAGAAAGTGCTGCTGGTCCAGATGGTTTCACAGGAAAATTTTTTACATTTGCTTGGGAAGTTATCGGCCAAGATGTCTACAATGCGGTACTCAGTTTTTTCTGTGGGGCGGATTTGCCCCGTTTCTACTTCAATCGTTCTAATTCCAAAGAAGCCAAATCCTCAGGAATTTTCTCATTTTAGGCCCATCAGTCTATGTAATTTTTTCAATAAATTATTATCCCGGATTTTGGCGGACAGGGTGGCGGTTTTATTGCCAAAAATTATTTCCCCCCAGCAGACAGGTTTTGTGAAGGGCCGCAATATAACTGAAAATTTTCTCCTAGCTCAAGAGGTGGTATCGAGTATGGGAAAAAAGAATAGAGGTGGGAATGTTTTAATAAAACTCGACATGTCCAAGGCGTATGACCGGGTGTCATGGGGTCATATTATTAATGTTCTGAGGAAGTTTGGATTCGGGGAAATATTTATTGACCTAGTATGGCGATTGCTTTCTAATGTCTGGTTCTCAATCATTATAAATGGCTCCTCCTACGGTTTCTTTAAATCTTCGAGAGGGCTTCGTCAAGGTGACCCATTATCACCTGCATTATTCATTATCGGGGCCGAGGTGTTGTCTAGAGGATTAAACAATCTCATCATGCAGTCGGGCTTCGTGGGATTCAAAGTTCCTTATGGGTGTCCTTCTATAACTCATTTGGCGTTCGCGGATGATGTTCTCATATTTGCAAATGGCTCTACCTTTTCTCTGAAGGCTATTATGCAGGTGTTAGAGGCATATCAAAGGTGTTCGGGGCAGCTGATAAATGTGCAAAAAAGCTGCTACTTGGTTCATCCATCGATGCCACTGGCGAGAAGAAGGCAAATTGAACGTATCACCAGGTTTACCTGGCACTCATTTCCGATACGTTATTTAGGGTTCCCGCTATACTTTGGAAGATGTAAATCATCATACTTTGGAGAAGTTTGTCAGTCTATTCTAGGGAGGATTTTGTCGTGGAAATCAAGATTACTTTCTTTTGGAGGCAAAATAGTTCTAATCAAACATGTGTTGGCATCAATGCCATTGCATTTGATGTCGGCTGCAGTGCTCCCGGGTAAGTTGTTCAAAACTATAGAAAAGACCTGCTTAGCCTTCCTGTGGGGGTCCTCACCCGCGGACTCGAAGTACCATTGGATACGATGGTCTCATTTGTGTTATCCAGTTGATGAGGGAGGAGTTGGATTTCGGAGACTATGGGACGTATACAAAGCTTTTTCATGCAAGCTTTGGTGGAATTTCCGAACAGGATCATCGTTGTGGGCAATGTTCTTGAAAGCAAAGTATTGCAAAAGCCTCCATCCTTGTCAGGTAGAACTCAAATCAACGGACTCGGCAATCTGGCGGAGGATGGTCAACGTCAGTCGACAAGTGGAGCTCTCAATGTTATGGGACGGGTCGTGTCACTTTTGGTACGACAACTGGTTGGGAAGTGGTGCGTTGTTCCTACAAGCACAAGTTATCCCAAATTTGACTTTCCGCAATTTCGTCATCAATGGTCACTGGGATTTGAATTCCTTAGGTCTTACAATACCAAAGGAGAAAATGGCCTCCATTGTGAAACACATACCACCGGAAGAAGGGAGTGAAGTTGAAGTCATTTGGATGCCCACCACATCTGGTAGATTCTCTCTACAATTGGCTTTCGAAGACATCAGGCAGGCCCGCAACAAGTCCATGGTTTTTGCTTCGATTTGGCATCCTCAGATTCCTTGGAAAGTCTCATTCTTCATGTTGCGACTACTTCTAGGAAGACTACCGCTACCAGATAGGTTATGTAAACTTGGTTTTCATTTACCGTCAAAGTGCTTGTGTTGTTCTTCGGCATCTGCAGAGTCTATCGAGCATTTATTTGCCAATGGACAAATAGCATCGGAAGTTTGGAACTATTTTCGAGGTTTATGTGGATTTAGCTGTTCAGGGTCTTCTCTACGGTCCTGCATAGTAGGGTGGTGGTTGCGGTTACATGATACTGAGACACGACAGCTTATTGACCGCATTCTACCTAATATAGTTTGCTGGCAGATTTGGAAGGCAAGGAATAAAGCAATGTTTGAGGGTGTCCAGATGCGATCGTCTGTTATTTGTCATCTCATTTTCTCGGAAATTCAATCCATCGTCGGAATCCACTTCAAACAAATTTTTCGATTCCAATCTTTTTGTCATTTGTATGATCGATCGAATGTGTCTGTCGGTACGGTTGCATACAAATTTGTTCGATGGGAGACAAAAGAGATAGGACGGCTCATACTTAATACGGATGGATGTTCTAAGGGTAATCCAGGAGTGGGTGGAGGTGGAGGAGTTCTTCGGGATCCAACTGGTTCACCACTGATTGCTTTTTCGGCTTATTTTGGAGAAACTACATCTCTCCGTGCAGAAGCTTGGGCTCTCCTTATCGGTCTTCAAACGTGTAAACATAGGGGATTCGAAAATATAAGTGTGCAATCAGATTCGCTACTCTTAGTTGGGATCATTCAACGAAGTACTCAATGTCCGTGGCAGATTCGAAGGGAGATCAGGCAGATTTGGAAGCTCCTGCAGGAACCTATTCATTTTTCACACTGCTATCGAGAGGCTAACACAGTTGCTGATGCGTTGTCTAATGTGGGCGTTTCTCACCCACATCAAAAGGTCAAGGTATATGACAGCTTTACTATGTTCCCAAGGGAAGCTCGTGGGGCAATTCGCCTTGACAAATTAGGTTTACCGTCAATTCGGAAAATAAGACGTATGTAACACGCATTTATGCTTTGTAATTTTATCTCATCAATAAAATAAAAAGTTGATAAAAAAAAAAAACTATTATTAGTACTTAAAAATAAAGGTTAGGGTGTAAAGTGGCTTTGGGACTAAAAATTAAGGGGGTTTACTGCTATTTACCCTTAAATTATTTCTAATACTAGGTATGATCATTGGAGATAGCATTTTTTGTGACATCATATATGTGAAATTATATTTTAAAAAATTTGTATCCATACAAACCATTATTTTTTACAACAAAATACCACTATTAACTGTTTTTGTATGAAATAGTTAAACACTTGATATGCTTAATTACAATGTCATGTTTACACGGAAATAATTTTTCAGAAATACTGCTTAAGAGAATTCTCAATTTTTTCAATAATTATGCTGATGAAGAAATGAAGTATTTACGTCTGGTCTAGTTAGAATTGAGCCCAAAAGCCCAATGTATTGCAAGACTTGTGTTTGAGTTTTGATATTTGTGGCCATATCTAGTCTCGGTCCATAAAATGCGGCCTTCCATTTGGGTTAGAACTCAGAATTGAGCTTAGGCAATCTCAGCCCCAAATGTTTCACACGCCAAATCAGGGTTACGAGTACCGATTAAAATCATTGATTTTCGAATTCCTATTGAGTATTGACATCTCCTTTTGGCCATGGAAAGGTACAAACATGTTACAAACTTTTCAGCGAAAATTCCTCAATTAAGAGGAGTCTATAGGGAAAAAGAAAAAGAAAAAGGATGAATGAAATTGTTGTATAAACAACAACTCAAATTCACACTTGGACAAATGAAGTTGATGCTCTACTTAACTGGTTTTGAAGAAATGAACCTTTAGTCATTTTTTGAAGAACCAGAGTTATCACACCACAAGATGCAGCGGCTACAGAAATTTTAAACACATGACCGATGTGTTGCTTATCCATCTCTAGTGTAACATATGCAATTTGATGAACCATAAGTTATAGCAATTGAAGTTGAAGTTGCTGTTAACCCCCACAAAGAACCACATAAAGATCTCATGCTTGAAGGGCAGTTCACTGTAAGCATCAAGATCATGCTGAGGGATGAAAAAAAGGCAGTCGTGTTGAACCAAAGTAAGTGCTTTAGTAATAGAGATCATGGTAAGCCTGGTGTGGATTTGGTGCCGGATTTCCTCTAGGATCTGTTGTTTGATCGTCTTGCCAAACTCCCCCTGGTGGGCTTCATCCGGCTTGGAAAGCCATTGTCGCAATGAGTGATGCCACGACTATTATTGCTTTGTTTTTTTGTTCTAACCATTCGAAATTGGATTGGTGATTGGTTTTTTGTGTGTTTGTTGATAGATTGATTTGAGACCATGGTACATTGTCCCGGGGGCAGGGGGGACTATACACCATTTGGTACTGTACAGGCAAAACACCATTTGGTACTGGTTAGGAATGTTTCTCTGCTGCAAAATTGTTGGTAATGTGAATGTTTGAGTTGGATTCAGTGATTTCCTCTGCCTTTAAGGCTCCAACTTGTCGAAGAATCTCTTTGATCTGTTGATTCATCTCTAGGGGATTCTATGGTATAAGGTCCATTGCTGTGCGTCCTTTTTGATTCTTCTCATTTATATTTATGGTTGTAGTTAACAAGGATCAAATGGTCTGCAGATACATTATGAGTTATCTATAAAAGGCCTTGTCTACACTTCAATCAACAAGACTAGGACAAAATAATAATAAAATAAAATAGCAAGAAAAATCATTAGGGCAATGTCCTTAAAAGAAGAAAATTAACTAATAATGCAACCGAATAAAGAGACTTATTGAAAGAACTATAGAAAGTAATTGTAAATTGGAGGCTGTTCCAACCCTGTTGCCAAAAACCAAGTTGCAACCTTTCAAAGTAAAAAAATTATAAACAAAGTTGAATATTCTGACCAAGCTTCTATTTTGTAATTGCAGAATTGTCGCATCACTAGTGCCAAAAAAAAATTATAACAAGAAGTTAGTCATGTTCAATTGGGATGCTCGGTACCACTATTCAGTGTCAAATCCAGTGTTAGTCCCACTTATTACGTAAGAGTAAAGAAAATTTGAGTTAAACCAAATAGTTTCGAGTCATTAAAAAATCAATGAGCACATAACAATTTAAATAAATGAGACGCTTCATATAAATATAGAAGTGGCATTGAGTTACCACCGGAAAGTGACACCAAGAATCTCATATAAATCATGTTTGCCTCTATGAAGGGTGCAAGTCGGAACCATTATTAATTCTCTTTTAAAAAAATAAAAATTAAAAAGAAAAAGTTTACCTCTAAGAAGTAAGAACAAAACTACTACCAAAATGTACTGGGCCTCTATCGGTGCAAGCACAAGCAAATCATAAACAGTTAAGATTCTTTTCTTGCTTCTGCTTGGCAGT